ATATGCAGAACTCCCCCCCCCCCCCAATACCCTTCGGTTATCACCCCCACGTCCTCGAAGCCCAGCATAAGCAAGCACTGATCAACTTTTCTGTGTCTATGAACTTGCCTATCCCCAACATTTCATATAAATGCAATCGTACGTTATGTAGCCTTTTATGTCTGGCTTCTTTCATTTAGCATGAATGTTTTTCAGATTCATTCATGTATCTGTACTTTATTCTTTTTTATTGCTGGAGAGATAGATCCTAGCGTACGGACATACCCCATTTTGTTAACCCATTCATCATTTGGTAGTTACGAATAATGCTTCTAAGAACATTCTTGTACAAGATTTTGCACGGACGGGTGTTTTCATTTCTACTGACTACATGCCTAGGAGTGGAATTGCTGGGTCGTGGAACTCTACGTTTAAACACTTGAGAAACTGCCAAACTGTTTTCTAAAATGGCTGCACCATTTTACGTTTCCACCAGCAGGGTATAAGGGTTCTAATTTCTTCACATTCTTGCTGGCACTTGTTATTATCTGACTTCTTGATTATAGCTATAGTGGGAGTGAGTAGTATCTCACTGTGTTTACGACTCCTTCATATATCCTGAGCATGACTCTGTGACTGTAAAGGATTTCTAGAATAACAAACTTCTAAACTGTATATATGCTAACACGTATGTATTATCTTACAGATCTGGTTCTGCAGAGTTAGATTTTTAAAAGCTTCAGGGTAAATGAGTATTTCAGCTCGCTAGGATGTGGCAGGACATCTCTGAAGGAAAGATGGAGAACCAGGAATAAAAGCCAGGGCTGGATCTTACTGAACTTGATCCCAGCAGCATTGGAAAAATGATATGCATAAAGGGGGCACTCATTACAAGCGTTTGGGAAGGAGTGAGGGTGTGCGGATACCCTGTAACTTGCACTGAGTCCCTTCCGTGTGACCAAGTACTACACAGAACCTGTAACTGTACAAACGTGTCAGAGGCGTTAGCCCCAGTATACCTCTAGGAAACTGTGATTTAGTCAGGTGGCCAAGACAAATACAGGAGTAGATCCACGATGAAACAGGAGGATATAACTGCAAAGAGGCACAACGTGATAGCTGTCTATATGAGAAGTACACAATACATATTAAGAGTTATAGGTATTATGAGGTACCACTTTTGACTGGAAAAAAGGCAAGAAAACAGCATGCACGTTTTCTTCTTTTAAACGTTAAAGGATGGGGCATCTGGATGGCTCCGTCTGTTAAGCGCCGACTTAAGCTCAGGTCATGCTCTCCTGGTTTGTGGGTTCAAGCCCCGCCTCGGGCTCTGTGGTGACCGCTCAGAGCCTGGAGCCTGCTTCAGATGCTGTGTCTGCCTCTCTCTGCCCCTCCTCAGCCTGTGCTCTCTCTCTCTCTCTCTCTCTCTCTCTCTCCTAAGTAAATAAATAAATAAGGAAAAATAAATACGCATTAAACATTAAAGGATAATGTGATTCTGGTAGGCAGAGTGACAAGCAATTTCTCCTTGACCGAACTTTAGCCAGGCCTCTTTGAACTTCTTTGTCAATTAGGCCTCAACCGTGCCCCATAAAGACCACAGACTCTCAGCACAAATGATTTTCTCCACACCCTCACCCACCTTAAAAGACCTAAACCAACACTAGCATTTGTTTCTAACAGCTCAAGACCTCACACCTGGGATGACCCTAGCCTCCTCTAACGTCCCCTGTCTGAGAAAGCTCAAGGCTGCCGATAGAATTTCATGTTCTAGCCAACACCTGACGTGAACCCCTGACTGGTGTTTCTTAGAGCATTTACTAAAAAGAGGTTCCAATTCTGAATTCTCTCTCTGAACCTCTGAGATGGACAAACATGTACCTCCTACAACTCAGGAATGCCTTTCTCAAGGACTTGAAAGCCATTCCTTTGAAATGTAATCATCAGGAAGGATCAGGCTTCTGTCTCCCAGTCTGGGAAGATAATTGCCGGGTAGCAGATACAGATACTGCCTTTACACTGATTAACCCTTTGTAGTTCTTCACTTCCCCAGCTTTATCTTTGACAAGAGGAGGGGAAGAAACTCACTCAAAAGGATTTTCTAGAACGACGGCTCAGAAGATGGATGCTTCTGCCGTCACAGAGCGTATGTTGGTGGAGAATTGAGAGAACTGGGGGGGCAATTTCCTCAGCCCCCTTCCACCTCCAGATCCTTCTGCTCCTGCGCTTTCCTTACTGCTGTTTTGAGGTATATTTGCTCCTTTGAAAGACCAACTTCTTCCTTCTCAGCAATTTCGCTTTCATAATTGTGCTTTGTCTCTAGTCCCTTTCTCTCCCTTGCTTTGGCTAGTTCTCCCTCCCTTTTGAATCATGCCCACCCAAATAGAAATACAGTTTTCAGGGGCACCTGGGTGGCGCAGTCGGTTAAGCGTCCGACTTCAGCCAGGTCACGATCTCGCGGTCTGTGAGTTCGAGCCCCGCGTCGGGCTCTGGGCTGATGGCTCAGAGCCTGGAGCCTGTTTCCGATTCTGTGTCTCCCCCTCTCTCTCTGCCCCTCGCCCGTTCATGCTCTGTCTCTCTCTGTCCCAAAAATAAATAAACGTTGAAAAAAAATTAAAAAAAAAAAAAAAGAAATACAGTTTTCAAAACACGGTCCTTTTGTTTCCTCTAGCTCCCCATTCTTAGCAAAACTTCTGGAGACATCTGTCCCTAGGTGCTGCCTGCATTTTCTCTCCTTGGACTCCCTTCGATCTGTTCCAACAGGACTTCTGTTTCCATCATTCGACTGAAATGTCAAGTCACCATGTTCCTTGGTCACCTTTGTACCTTCAACTTCCCTGAACTCTTGGCGTTGCAGGGTGTTTTACCTCAATACCTGGGATTTGTGGTCTCGCTGCTTCGAAGAGTGAAGAGGTGGACACAAAATGAGCAGCAGGAGAAAGTTTATTAGAGTATAAATTTAGAAAGTAAGAATAGTATGAAAGCTCCCTTTACAGGGAGGGAGCATTCTAAAGTGAATGCCCATGGACTACAGGCAAGTGTCCTTTTTTTTTTTTTTTTAACGTTTTTATTTATTTTTGAGAGAGAGAGAGAGAGAGACAGAGTGTGAGTGGGGGAGGGGCAGAGAGAGAGGGAGACACAAGATTCCGAAGCAGCCTCCAGGTTCTGAGCTGTCAGCACAGAGCCCAACGTGGGGCTTGAACTCACAACTCGTGAGAGCATGACCTGAGCCGAAGTCAGACATTTAACCAACTGAGCCACCCAGGAGCCCCAAGTGTCCTTGTTTCATAAGTTCTAGTCAGCCTCCATATTCCCCCTTGATCCTTCTCAGGTTTTACCCTTATTGGCTAGGTAACTAAATGCCTAGTCATTCCCTCTTGATTGGCTCGCTTCCATTGAATGAGGGGTGGTCTATGACCATACAGTTCCTTGTGGGTCAGACATTTCATGGTCTTTTGGCAAATTCCTGAGGGGAACCTGAGGGGGAGTTGGTGATATCTCTCACATTCTTAAGAGGAAACTTACCCCCGAGGGAGTTTGCTGTGGTCAAACTCTCCCAGCATTGTTCCAAAATATGTTTTTTCCCCACCCAGGGGCCTTGGGACCTAACCTTTCCCTCTCTGCCTGTTCTATCCTATCTTTTCCCTACCTGTTAGCAGAACTCCGCACACTTGAACGTCACGTTCGACACAGCTCCTTATTGGAGTGCTTCCCTCCGTGAGTTCCGACGCCCCACAGTTGCCTTGCTTCTCTCTTAGGTTGGTCCTTACTCTTCCTCAGTCTCCCTGGCAGGGTTCTCCCCTGCCTAACTTCATACCATTGATTCTCTGCACTCACCATACAGGTCGTTCTACCCCGTGCTGTGATTGGGTGGGGTGGAGGAAGGAGGTCTTAGGTTTAGGTGTGGGTGAATTCAATTGAGTAGCAAATTTCCAAGGTTCTACCCTGCAGAGACTTACCAGGGAAGACAAGAGGGAAAATTTCAGGACATACAACAAAGTAAAAGATTTCACTGGGGGATGACTGACAGATTGCTTTGTCCCCCAGGCAATGGAGTTTTGGACAGACCGTCGGACTTCCAATGAGGCTGAGTAAAGCCTTAAGATAGTCTTATGTTTTTACTTGTTTTTTAAATTTTTTCAGAGAGAGAGCTCAAGAGGGAAAGGAGCAAAGGGAGAGAGAGAAAGAATTAGGCAGGCTCCACATTCAGCGTAAAACCCAGCATGTGGCTCAATCCCACGACCCTGAGATCATGACCTGAGCTGAAATCAACCGACTGAGGGGCGCCTGGGTGGCGCAGTCGGTTAAGCGTCCGACCTCAGCCAGGTCACGATCTCGCGGTCTGTGAGTTCGAGCCC